ATCTCCTCCGCTAATCCTTGCCACAGCAGTCCATGAATAGTGGAAGTTCAATGTCAGTAATCCCCACGGACTGTCGCAAATATACTCCGACACATACGACGCCTACATCCAGAAAAGCAAGCTTCAAGTGCAAAATGGAGGGCCTTCCTCAATTTTGAGGAAGGCTGGGCGTCAACTGAAAGGCCCAGCAGGCTCGGAAAGAAAAAAAAAAACCGGTTTGGCGGAGTGCTCCGGAGGGTACTGGTGGTTTAACAACTGGCAGGTACTGGTGGTTTAACCACCAGTACCTTTGGCGTCCGGTTTCGACAAGTCCTGGCCAGTACCCGAACTTTCAGGAGGCCGAGCCCGACGTTGATCAATGTGATCGGCCGCCGTCTTTTCCTTTCAGCCTCCTGAAAGGTCGGAGGCCGAGTATTTTCGAACCCACAAAGGTACTGGTGGTAAGCCCATAAAATCCAGGCTTCCCGCCCACGCAAAGCCACGAGCTATCATGTCCAAGTTAGTCCAACTTTTTTTTTCTTTTTTTTTTTCCGACGGGGAGGTGGGCATCTTTACAGTCCCCCCTGGGAAACTACCAGGCCGTTGAGATCCGATGTATTCGACGGCCGTACTGAGTCACTCGATGCCACACATGATCGAAATCCTGAACGGCGTGGTAGAATACCTTGCTAGTGGGTCCAGGCCCCCGGGCCGATTCGAAATAAAATTCCATTGAGTGGGAAAAAATAAAGAGGAGCACGCCAGCGGCGCCGGCGCCGTCAAAAATCACACACGGAGCCCTGGGGCAAGGTCCCACTACCGGTAGCAAAGAGGATGGACATGTTAGAGGTGCAGAAAAGCAATTCAATCTCCATTTTCTGCACCTATTTCCAAAACATGTCCAGATGCATGCATTCGATCCAGTCCTCTTTGCTAATGGGACCTCGCCCCTGAAGAACGTAATAAAAATAAAAAAAAAGAACGTAAACACACGTTTTGCATTCGCTGGCTCGAAACTTCGTTTTCCTACCTTCTTCCCCCGAATACAACGTTCGGTCATTATATTAGCTGTATCTAGGCTACCTTTCAGTCTGAAAAATACAGCTCCAATGACCGTACGTTGTCTTCGGTCGGGGGAGGAAGGTAAGTGTCTCGCTGGCTGGCCAATCTCAGATCACAAAAAAAAATAAAAATAAAAATAAAAATTCTCAGATCACACTCACGCTACACGGTAGCACAATCTTGCATGGATCTGGCCATAACTTGAATCATACGGCACTGGGTGCCTTTTGAAAAAAAAAAAAAAAAAGAAAAAAAAACTCGCTCCTACTCGGATGTATCTGACGGCCGTTACGTCCCGAAATAAGTGAGAAAGCCCTGATCGTAGTCGGCCGTGAAGTGATCGTAGTCAGCCCGCTGAAAATCGACGGCCATGAGTGCCGCCGGGGCGATCTCACTGCGCCTGTCATAGACCTCCACTCCGTATCCGTACATTCCCTCCTTCCTTCATGTATAATGGTTATAATGGTTATAATAATGGTTATGATGGTTATTACCTACCGGGAGCAAGGTCTCACTTGCACGGATTAAGAGATTGTGGCCGTCGATCTTTGCTATCTACGGTCAATATCGCTTCATTCGTGTAAATGGGACCTTGCCCCGGGGCTAGGTCCCACTTGCACAAATTAAGAGATCATACTGACCGTAGATAGCAAAGATCAACGGCCGAAATCTCCTAATTTGCGCAAGTGGGACCTTGTGCCCCCGGTAGGGCGCCGCTCCACTACTCTCGACATGTACAAAAAAGACAAAAATCATGGCCGCGGCTGTATCTCTCCATGTTCTAGCGGAAGATTCACTCTCGTTTTGCAAATTTCGAGAGTAGTCGATCGAGAGTAGTGGTGGAGCGAGGCCCCCACTTTCAGTCAGAAAAAGGATCCAAAAAAAATAAAAAATAAAAAATAAAAAAAATCCATGGGTTCGATTCTCTTCGGAGTCTATGAAGATTCTTTTTTTTCCCCTTTCCTTAGCATCCACACACACAAGTGCACGTGAAACACACGTGGGCGGGTCTTACAAACCAGACAGAAAGCCGAGTCCGTGCATTCGCTCACACTCCTTGTCGAGAACTCGTTCCACCGTCCTGAAAACAACGAGGAAAAGGAATGCCAACGCCCAACAGCCTTTTTTTTTTTTTTTTTCCCCAACAGCTTTTCCCCTACAGACCCACATATCTAGTCTAGACATCAACGGCTGGGGTGCATCAGTTTAGCTGTGCGCAATTCAAGCGCGGCCCAGCCCGAGAGGCCCATCAGCTATAGGTAGAAGGTGGTCCTGCGTACGTAAAAATCTAGCTGATTACCTCCTTCGTTGCGTGGGTTACGTCGTTACACGACTCCCTCTCGGTCTCTCATTCTCTCTTTCTTTTCTTCGCGCAAAGTGCAGAGCTGTTTGTCAAAACAGTTAGCCCCGCGAGCGATCATTCTTTGTGCTTTGATTGGCCTGGTCCAGTTAGCCCCGCGAGCGATCATTCTTTGTGCTTTGATTGGCTTGGTCCCGACTTAGAGCTGCGGCCATTGGTGACGTCAACCAGTTTGTTTCCTGGTCAATCAGACAGACAGATTGAGTAATTGGTTGGTTGAGTTAATTGGTTCTCGGCTGGTTGATTAGATTGATCATACTGATTGATTGGTTGGTTGATTGGTTGATTGGTTGATTGATTGGTTGGTTGATTGGTTGGTTGATTGGTTGATTGATTGGTTGATTGTATAAAGAATGGTTAACGGAGGCGATGGAGCGCTGGTGGGCACAAACTGCAGCAGCAACGCGTTACCCCAAGATTGTGTGGCATCGATTTTGTCGTCTCTGACGCGTCAAGCAGATCGCAAGGCAGCAGCGTTCGTTTGCAAAGATTGGCTTCGTGTCGCCTTGTCCACGTGGACTGTTAGATTCTTCTCTGCGCCTTTTTCAGCTCCCCTTGGGGATCTGACACGTCTGCTCCGCGTTTTCGACTCGCTCACTTCGTGTTGCGTGGTGCTGTCGAGGACAACGGACACGTGTGACGTTCTGTCGTCGTTGTCCGCGCACTGCCCCTCCTTGGCGCGTCTTTCTCTGCAGGGCGATGGTAAGGGCGTCCACGTGTCACGCGGTGGGCTCGTGAGCCTCACGTCGAACCTCCCATCGCTTACAGCCGTCGATTTATCTGGCCTGGCGACGATCTGTGGGGAAGATCTGGCAGCCATAGCCGCGAACCTTCAGTCTCTGCGCGAGATCGACCTCAGCGGGTGCAAGCTCGAAAAGGCTCTCCCTCCTCCTCCTCCCCCTCCCCTCTCGTCGTCGTCGTCGTCGCCTTCCTGTCCCGTTTCCTGGTCGCACCAATCAAGCGAAAACGCCTTGACAGGCTGCTTCTCTCATGATGAGCTTGCTGAGCGGTTGAGCGATGGTGATGGAGGGCAAAAGAAGGTGCAGAGGCCGTCAGATGGTGGTAAACCGCTTGCGGATCTCACGAACCGCGTAGGAAGAGGAGGAGCAAGAGGAGGAGGAGGAGGAGGAGGAGATGGTGGAGGCGGCGGAGGAGGAGGAGAAGCGACTACCGGTAGCGCCCACCGTCCGCGGAGCTGCTGCGGCAGGAGCAAGGCTACGGCTGATGTCGTCGGCATTCTCGATGGTGAGGAGAGCGGGGGTTGTAGAGCAGAAGACGGGGGAGGGAAGATAGTCGGTGGGGGTTGTGTAGCCCTCGGAGTCGTCGAATGTGCTCCCCTCGCGGTCGTTGATCCCGCTTGTCGATCTTGTGACAGGTGGCGTGCTCACGTGGCTCCGCTCCCGGTCGTTGATCCTGTGTTCGGCGCATTGTTATCGTGTGGCAGTTGGTGCCTGAGGTACCTCGAAGTGATTAATCTGGAGGGCTGTGGGGTTGACGTCACCAACGAGGGGCTGGTGGAACTAACCAGGAGGTGCCGGAGGCTGCGTGATGTGGGCTTGCCACGTGTCACCGGGTTGCTGGACGAAGGACTCCGTGGATTGGCTCGAGGCTGCCGCGCCTTGGAGCGGCTCAGCATCTATGGCAGCCAGTTGGTATCCTGCCGCGGGCTTCGTCTGCTCGGCGCGCGGTGCCGATCACTGTATTATCTGTCAATGGGTGTCATCTCTGTGGAGGCGGTGGAGGGTCTGATTGCTCTGATGACACACACTGCGACACTGCGGGAACTGAAGCTGGTCCGTGTCGCTCACGGTGGGCTTGGCTCTGCTGTTGCCTCTGCCATCGCCCGTCACGGGCGCTTTATAGAGTCGCTGGACGTCTTTTCGGTGTCGGACAGCGCGGGAAGCGGCGAAGGCGGCGGCGGCGGCGGAGAGGAGTCCACGACCAGATCGTCGTCGTCGTCAGGTGCATGCTGGATGTCGGTTGTTCGCGGTTGCCCTCGTCTGGCCCACCTCTGCCTCCGTGACTGCCCAAACATGACCGATGGGGATCTCAGGGTCTTCTGCTCCTCCTCCTCCTCCTCCTCCTCCTCTTCCTCCTCCTCCTCGGGCTCCGTGGAAGAGGATTCTTCTCTTGTTGTTGGTGAAGGAAGACGGAGGGGGGGAGGAGGAGGAGCTGGCGGTGGTAGTGCCGTCGAGGGCGCCGGCTTCTCCTTCGGCAGATTGACGTCGCTGTCTCTCATGCATGCTGATGTGTCGGGATCGGGACTGGTGTGGGTGAAAGAGGCCTGCCGGCTCAGCCTGCAGAAGCTGGACCTGAGTTTTTCGAGAGTGGCCCATCTGCGAGCCCTCAAGGCGGGAGGGGACAGCAGATGGATCTCCTTGGAGGCCATCAATCTGGAGGGCTGCGACCAGATCGACGACGATGACATGGAAGCCATAGCCGACACGTGTCCCAATCTCCGCTCGCTGAACGTCAGCGAGTGCTTGGCGGTAAGCGACGTCGGGGTTCGCTTGCTGTCTCGTCGAGGGGGCAGTAGCCTCGAGCATCTCGACATGAGGCGGACGCCACGTGTCACCGGTCAAAGCTTCCGCTCGGGATTCCCCCGGCTGCGGAAACTCCGTTTGACCCACTGTCGGTTGAACGAGGATGGACTGCGCGCCATCGCCGCCGGCTGCGCAAGATTGGCGGATCTCACCATCGTGTCCTGCTTCAAGGTGACTGATGCAGGGCTGAAATGGATGGCTAGCTGTGCGGAGCTCGAGAGGCTGACCACGGAGAGTTGCTGCAACATCAGCGCCGCCGGGATCTGGGACCTGGCCAAGCGGTGCCCGGTGCTATCGGAAGTCGTTTTGTCGTCTTGTGAACGCGTGGCGTCGTCCGACGTGGTCTGGCTCGCTGAGCGGATGCGCTCCAAGCGCCTGGGCGGCGTGTGCTGCACGATGCGCTGAAGACAGTAAATCACACAGCTGCGGCGACAGAAGCAATCAATCCGCCGACGTCTGGACCGCGTCCTCGCATCTGTGTGTGTGGTTGGACTAGGCTAAGGTCGAGGATCGCGATCCCTCTATGGTGTGTGACGCTGAGCGGCGGCATAGTGCCGTGTTGCGTTCATCCTCTCGCATCTCACGTGTCACGTGTGTGTGTAGACACTCTTTCGGCCGGTCATGCCTTGGGCGTATGATGCCGGATGATGCGCTCAATAAATCACACGGCCACAACCGAAGCAATCAATCCGACGACGTCGGGACCCGTCCTGGCTTCGCTGGGTGTGTGCTTCTACGAGGTCGACGAGGATCGCGATCCCTACTATGGTGTGTGACGCTGAGCGTCGGGACTCGTCCTCGCTTCGCTGTGCTTCTACTAGTAGGGTCGAGGATCGCGATCCCGACTCATCCTGGCTTCGCTGTGCTTCTACTTGTAGGGTCGAGGATCGCGATCCCTTTGTGGTGTGTGACGCTGAGCGGCATCGTGCCGTGTTGCGTTCATCTTCTCGCATCTCACGTGTCACGTGTGTGTGTAGACACTCTTTCGGCCGGTCACGCCATCGCAGCTGCTGCTGATGCGGCCTAAAAGCCCCTGGGCGGCGTATGATGCCGGACGATGGGCTCAATAAATTGCACAGCCACAACCGAAGCAATCAAATCAATCCGACGTCAGGACCCGTTATGGCTTCGCTATGTTTCTTCTACGGTAGGTCGAGGATCGCGATCCCTACTGTGATGTGACGCTGAGCTGCATCTCGCGCCGTGTTGCGTTCCTCCTCTCTCCCATCTCCTGTGTGTGTGTAGTCACTTTTTCGGCCGCTCATGTCTTCGCAGCTGCTGATGCTCTCCACGCCCATGGGTGGCTCACGTGTGTGTAGACTGCCGACCGGTCGGCCGCTCATGTCGACCTGTCATGCCTTTTGGATGTTGGCTGTCGGGGGACGTACGGAATCATATCATATATAGTAAGTAGAAGGGGTCCTTCGACGGCCGACGATCTGGAAGTTAGCTGTTCGCTGACGTGGAGGGCTTGCAATCGGCTGCCGTCGTTGACTTCCCACCGGCCGCCGCCGGCCGCCTACTCGAAGACAGCGGGACAAGGAAGGAGTGCCATTTTTTTTTTTTTTTTTTTTTTTTTTTTTTGCGAAGGAATGCCATTTTTTTCTGTCGTTTTCGACGCGATGGCTTCACCTTGACAGGTTGGGATCCCCTCCACACCCACTCGTAATGTCGTCTGGCATTGCGGAAGACACGTGGCACACGCAGGGAAGTCGGATCTTGCCTGATCTCGATCTCGACGTCGCTGACGTGGACTGTGCTCTCATTTCGTGGCGTGGGGGGGGGGGGTATGCGGGTGGTGGTCAAGGAACTGGAAGAGCGGCTACTACTACTTCATCCAGGCGGGCGGTATCCGTATAGCTTTCTCTCTCATCTCCCTTTCTCTTTCATCTCCTGCGTGTATGGGCGTCGGCTCCACTACTCATCAGATGCACAAACGACTAAAAATATGGGGCGTATCTTCCCATGTTCTAGCGGAAGATTCATTGTCATTTTGTTCATTTGGTGCGCGTAGGGAGAGGATCGACGCCCTACCTATGTATCTTTATCTCCTTGGCCGTCTGTGTTTTCCTTGGGGCTTGTCATGCATTGGCTCCTGCGCCTATTTCGAATAGGCAATAGGCGTTCTATCCCCTTTCCCTGTTCGTCCTCCAGATGGGGTTTATTCTCTCTCTCTGTTCTTCAACAAAATGGAGAAGCTTAGGGGGTTGATGTCATCTGGATTCGAACGTAGGTCTGTATTTCAAGAGCTCGTTGGTGTAGTACCAACAGAGCCAGGTCTGTCAATAGAGATAGAGAGATGGGGGTTATTCCGTTTAGCTTGCGACTGTCATTTTTCCAGATTAGCTGAAACTCTGTCATGTAGCGTGTCATGTTCCAGATCCGGGTGAGGGCATACTCACACTACGTAGCACTTTCCTACCTGGTATCTGACTGCAATTACGACTGTGTACGTGGATGTATGAATCTGACTGCAATCACGTTCAAAGCTAGGTAGAAAAGGTGGTGGGGGGACATGATATGGTTGAACAGGTGGTGGGGGGACATGATATGGTTGAACGAGTAGTAGTGTTGGGCCCACTCGCTGCCGTTCAAACGTTCCATTACCTTCTTCCCCCGAATACAACGTGAGGCTCATTATCGTTGCATTTGGCGTAACCTTCAGTCTAGACACCTCGATAATAACTGTACGCATTCTATTCGGTGGAAGACGGTGGCATGGGGGCTACAGAAACTGCTGCTTTTGCTTCTGCTGCTGCTGCTGCTGCTGCTGCTGCTCCTCCGTCATCTCTCTGAGAGCTTGCCTTTTGGTGATTGATGTCCCCTCCTTTTCGTACACCAGACCGACTTGGAAATGAGAAGAACTTCAGAAATGAGAACAACTTCAGAAAATGCAACGCGAGCGATGCCTTTGGGGTCGTCTAGTATCATTGGATCTAGCTAACTAACACACCCATTCGATCGTTGGATCTAGCTAAGTAACACCCATTCTTTCCTAA